TCCATCTCACAGACACATCTTGTATGAATGAGGCTGTGGTCAGGAGAACCCATTTGTTTTTGCTTAACCTTAAGTTTGGTACTGGCCAGCTCACTTTTTTTAAAGTGCTCCACCAAACTTCTTGCTGCTCCTAAAGCTCTGCTGATGTGGTTGTCCTTTAGAGCATGGTTAACTACAAGCTGTAGAGTATGGCCAGCACATCTGAGGGATGAAACACCATGTCTTTCCTCAAGAAGTCTTAAAGCTGCAACAACATTTGCAGCATTGTCATGCACGATGACTTGAACATGTTTTATGTTTATTTCAAACTTATTGACAACATCCTCAACCCAACAGGCAATATTTTCTGCAGTGTGTCTTTCCTGGAGGGGCATTGTTGTCAGGTTAATTGAGGTCAGCTCCCACTCATCATTAACAAAGTGAACGGTGACACCAAGGTAAGCTTCAGTGGCCATACTAGTCCATGCATCAGTTGTGAGTGTTAGTTTTCCTTTCACATTTTTCAAGATTGCCTTTACTTCCTCCATTTTTTTCGTGTATTTTTGCTCCATAAGCTTAGTGAAGTGGGTTCTTGATGGTAATGTGTAGCCAGGGTGAAACCTTTTAATCATTTTTTAAAACCCTTCCCCATCTACCATATTTAATGGCCTCATGTCCACAACAATCATCTCCAGGACACCGTCAGTCAATTCAGCGGCCATTTGGGGTGTACATTCATCAGTCCCATGCCTCTTCGGGAAAAAATTCTGAACGCTGGTTTGTCGTTTGCTGCAACATAAGAGATAATATTTAATTTTCATTTTAAATATACATGAAAATTAACTACAGCTTACTTTAATACAAAATATGACTTAAACTACACACATTATATTGTTAAATTGATTTAATAACAACAATGATTGTATGATTAAAGTTAATTGTTCGTTTGTACATACAGTAACTGTTAATGTTGTACAAAGGTAGTTTAGTTAGTTACACAACTAACGTAACGTTATGTAGCGATAGACACGCGCGTTTTTGACGCCTCTCAGAGCGAAACAGTGCTTTAGTTTATGAATTTACAACGCAGATACAAATAATACATTCATGTTTTTGTGTAATGAAAAATACTCACGCGGCCGATTGACTGGTTGATGGCGATGGCATGAACGCTGTCGGGTGTTTTCGTTTTAAATGTTGGTTCATAGCCGTTGTGCTGCTGTGGTAGGCCATTTCCGCTCGACACAGTGTGCATAAAACAACATTATTTGGCCGTTTCTGGAAATACTCCCACACTTTTGATGACTTTTGGCGTGCCTTTTTCCCCTCGCTCGCATCGCGCGCCGCCATGATGTAAACAAGCGACGCGTCGGCGCACAAAAACTGCGTCGACGTATTTACGTAATCGATGACGTCGACTACGTCGACGCGTCGTTTCAGCCTTAATTGTCATTAACAAACACTTATAACCAGGACTACAGCATATATCAATACATGTTTAATAATGTTGTAAATATATTAATATATATATTATTCATTGTATTTCCAATGGAAAACGGACCCAACACGCGTCGACGGAACAAATAGGATTGTTTCTATTTAGTCCGTCCGCGTCCATTGCACCCTCCGTTGATGGAATCCGGATGTTGGAGGCAGTGGAGCCACTTCCATTCACCCTCATGGAAATAACGGAGACGGAGATGAAACGGACATGTTTGGACGGATCCGTCGTCCGTATCTCCATGAGGGTGAATGGAAGTGGCTCCACTGCCTCCGCATGCGTCCGTCCAACGCACGTCGGACGTATTCCGTCAACGGAGGGTGCAACGGACGCGGACGGACGAAATAGAAACAATCCTATTTGTTCCGTCCGTCGACGAGTGTCGGGTCCGTTTTCCATTGAAAATACAATGGAATAATATATTGATATATGCTGTAGTCCTTGGTTATAAGTATTTGTTAATGACAATGATTATTAACAAAAGTGTGTAATTTTTTTCATGTATTAATTTAAATAATTGTTTCCTGATCGTACATCTACCATTTATTTTTTGCATAATGATTTAATAACATAATAATGACATTTTTTTAATATAATAATAATGACCCTTACGTAGTTAGAACATTTCGATGCTGCGCGACAGGCAACGTAAGGGCCTTGCGGTGACCAACGCGTTGCGCAAGTGATGTCACGTCACCTCCGTAAGCTCCGCGCCGCGCGAGTATAAACTAGGCTTTAAGGGTCGCCGCAAGGAAGCTCCGCTGTGATTGGTCCGTGTGTGTGTATTGGAAGGAAGCACGGAGCGGCTGCAGCAGGAGCATGGACGAGGCACTATGGAGCAGAGAGCTTTGTGCTTCGAAGGAAAAGCAGTTTGGGCTCAGAGCCTGATATACAGGAGACTGTGGACTATCTAACATATATATAACTTATATCTAACATATAACTTATATCTAACATATATATGTTAGATATATGTTATATCTAAAATATATATAACTTATATCTAACATATATATAACTTATATCTAACATATATATAACTTATATCTAACATATATATAACTTATATCTAACATATATATAACGTATATCTAACATATATATTACGTATATCTAACATATATATTACGTATATCTAACATATATATTACGTATATCTAACATATATATAACTTATATCTAACATATATATAACTTATATCTAACATATATATAACTTATATCTAACATATATATAACTTATATCTAACATATATATAACTTATATCTAACATATATATAACTTATATCTAACATATATATAACTTATATCTAACATATATACACTCGTAAATCGTTCATGTTTGTCTCAGATATTTACCACTATTATTGTTTTGCTGTTTGTGCTGAAAACTATTTAATAATAACTATGTTTCCAACAGAACTGTGTCTTTATTCACAGCATCACAGTTGAAATGACTTATAAAATAATGAATCCATAAAACTATCACATAAACCTACAGTAGAAACACTAGGCTTAAGGCCTGCACACTTAAACATTCCGTCTTCCTACTTTGTTTTTGGCAGCGGGAAAATGCTGTAGTATATGAACATCAGAAATGTCCGTGAGAAAACAGCTTTGGAGGACCCTACCGCGCTAATTGCTCAAAAAAATAGCTTAGCTACAGAAAAGTTACTTGGATTTGTAAATAGTGACGCTACCCTCAAGCTACTGAAAAACGTAGCGAGTTAAGCTAGTAGCGTCGCTACTGCCCATCACTGTAAACTACAGACTTAAAACATGGATTCAAAAGGCTCTGACTTGTACATTTGCATTTGTAACAACATAAATAACATTTAAAACCGAAATCATGCAGAGTGTAAAAACGTGACCCACCTCCTCAGACGCTAGGCAAAGACTGAGCGAGGCGCATGCTATACTTCCGGTAAGAGCGTGTAGACCAATCAGAAAGGAAGGGGGAGGAGCTTGGGTTGTTTTTTTTTCAAATCAAGTACCTCTCTGTCTCTCTTTCTGACAAACTCTAGAGCAGGGGTCGGCAACGTTTGTGACATGGAGTGCCAGTTTGAAATTTTCTTCTAATCTAGTGTGCCATTACCATCGATAAACGCAAAGTTAAAAATGACACAAAATACATAAACATTTCCAATATACTTGGAATTGTATTCTCAACAATAACAGTATCTGTATTTCAAAATAATTTATAAACATTTCAAAGACTGAAAAACAGCTAGTGTAGCATATAACAATAGTAAGTCCAGTAAACTGATTGTATTTGGGCTCAGACCAGAAGCTAAGATTCGGCTCACAGAGGGAGAGGTGTTTAAAATCACAGACAACAAAGACAGTGGTATGGTCCAGATGTGAATTAAAAGATAGATATTAGGGGTGCAACGGTTTGAAAAAAAATCACAGTTGGGATCGTACCTCGGTTCAGTTCATTTTTCGGTTCATTTTTTTTTGTCTATTTAATAAACACGGCTCCTGTGGACTCGGCACCTGTAGGAGGATCAGTGAGGGGCTGGTGCTCTGTGAACTGGGTGCAGCTCTGACTGCCACCCCCCTGACCTAGAAATGGATTAAGGGGAAGAAAATGGATGGCATATTCCATCCATCCAATTATGTCTTTTTAACATAATTCATGAAAAAAACAAAGTGCAACATAAGAAGGCACTTTATGAGAATATTTACTGTCATATATTAAACCACCTTCCTGATTCTCCCGAGGAGGGGGTCCATTCTGGGCCCAGCCTCATTCACTGCATTTATTTAATTTTTGGCATTATCAGTTGTGACTGGGATATTAGTACTGGGCCTTTGTCTTCCATTCCTCCACTGCTGTGTCAGTACCTGCGCTGTGTGCCTGTACCTGTGCTGTGTGCCTGTACCTGTGCTGCTGTGTCAGTACCTGTGCTGTGTGCCTGTACCTGTGCTGTGTCAGTACCTGTGCTGTGTCAGTACCTGTGCTGTGTGCCTGTACCTGTGCTGCTGTGTCAGTACCTGTGCTGTGTGCCTGTACTGACACACTTGACTTTCGTAGAGGGGGCGTGTCTGCAACGCCCGACTTTTCATCGCGCAGTCTGCAGTGATGAAGTGAGCGGTTATCGTAACATTTCATGGTTATCTCAACCGCTCATGGATCTATTATAGGTTCCGCGGGACGTCCAAGCGTCAGTTGTGAGCGCAACTGAGGATAAGCGGGAGAGTTGACTTTAGCCCGGTCTGACTGTGCGTAAAGGGTCTTGTGCCACAGTATTTACACTGTGACTGTTTTGTCGACTATTTAATCATCAGTGTAGTTACAGTGAAGCCAAAATGCTCTCATACCGAGGATTTAAATGACACAGGCTTCTCTGTTCCTCCGCTCGCCATGATTACGCTGTGTGTGAACTAAACAACATAGTGGGAGTGCACAACTTTTTTTTCATAAATCAAACTGCGGATCACGTCTGTACCGAACCGAAGACGTTGATCTGAACAGATCACGGATCAGTGATGAACCGTTGCACCTCTAATAGATATTTACAAAGGCAGGGGATAGCGGTGTGCCCTGTCAATCACCGGAGGGGTTGCCAGATTCAGGACATGTTGCAGGAGTTCAGCAATGAACGTGCTCACTTTCGCACCACCTTCACGGCCTTCCTTTATCCCAAAAATACGCAAATTATCTCTTCTGGATCTCGCTTCCAAATCTTCAGTTTTCTCTGTCAGGCTCAAGATTTGATGTTTTAGTTCAGCCACCTGTTGCTCCAACTCCGTTACGCCATCAGAGCACGTGTTGGTCCCCTCCTCCAAGCTAGCCATGCGCTCCTCCAGCATGCTAACTCTGTTGTTAGCCTGCTCAATAGACGCCTTCACCTCGTCTCTCAAACTACGTATTTGTTTGGCCAGCTCATTTTTCTGCATTTCTGCTTTGTCGTCAATTTTAGAAAGTAACTCCGATTTCAGAGCGTCAATGGCTTGTAGTACAGCGGTATTCCCCGAGGTTAGGCTACTTTCTCCAGTCTCGTTAGCTTTAGGCGGTTTTGGCATATTGAAAAGTCCACAAAGTCAATAAAAATACACAAAACGAAAAATACGTTTCACCCAGTGTGACTCACAATGCCTTTACGGGTTGCAGATGATATAAAAATGTGGTCTTGTTGGTAAAATTGCGGTAAATGTAGGAGAGCTCAGACGACGCGTCTACATCTCTCCGAGGCCCAGCCGGAAGTCTTTGTGTCCTGTTTAATATATTGTCAGTGACTTGCACTTATGACTTTGGCAATGACTATGACTGGGCGCATGCGCACGCAGCGAACAGCAGTTCTGAGAAGCTGGACTAGTCTTTCAACTTTTTAACTTCTGAATGTTCGTTTATGTATTTTTTTTTTTTTTACGTGCTAAGTGCTCCATACACAACATGGATCTACGCCTTATCCTGCCTGTCGCTTTGTGGATTTTAATCTGTGGATTTCTTATTAGCGACGTTACTTGTGCTATTGGTGAGGCTAGGCTACAGTACACCCGGGATGTGTTGCTGCAGCTGAAGTCTGTTTGCGTGACAGATTTTGCGCCTAACCTACCTGACTTTATCAGAAGAGACTTTATTGAATCAAGGCAAGTTGAACGTGAAGGGAAGAAGAAAAAGAAGCGAAGAAAATGCGGAGGCGTACGAGAGCGTCTTAAAAAGCAGCGGGTGACCCGGCTTCCTCTGCCTTCGGTTATTCTTGGGAATGTACAATCCTTAAAGAATAAGCTTGAGGAACTTCAGGGAAACATCCGTTTCCAGAAGGACTTCAAAGAATGCTGTGTCCTTACCTTTACGGAAACATGGCTTACTGACCGGGACCGGGATGGAGATCTGCGCATTGATGGGTTTGGTACCCCTTATCGCCTGGATCGAGACGCTGATGTGACGGGGAAGACGCAAGGCGGCGGGGTATGTTTTTACTTAAATGAACGATATTGTAAGTCTGTGACTGTTAGAGAGCAAGTGTGCACACCGGACGTTGAACTCTTATCCGTGTCTTTTCGCCCATACTACTTGCCGCGTGAATTCCCACAGCTCTTCTTTACGGTGGTATACGCGCATCCAAAAGCTAATGCTGCCCTTGCCACCAATGTAATCTACGACGCTGTGCAGAAGCTTCAGTCAATCTCACCCGATGCGCCCAATTTTATACTGGGAGACTTCAATCATATCTGCCTCAAAAAGTCCCTAATGAACTTTCACCAGTACATCACCTGCCCCACGAGGCGGGGGAAATCTTTGGATCTTTGTTATGGATCAGTGAAGGGCGCGTATAAGGCAGTACCTCTCCCTCCACTGGGCTTATCAGACCATAACTGTGTCCATCTAATGCCCATATACAAGACTGTTCTTAAGAGGGAGAAGGTCAAGACTAAAGAAATAAAAACTTGGACTGAGGAATCTACCTTATGTCTACAGGAATGCTACGACTGCACAGACTGGAATGTATTTAAAGACAGTTGTGGAGATGATTTGGATGAACTGACGGATGTAGTGTGTTCATATATGGTTTTCTGTAGAGACATGATTGTGCCATCTAAACAGATCAAATTATACCCGAATAACCAGCCTTGGGTAAATAAATCTGTGAAATCATGTATACAGGAAAAAAGGCGAGCTTTTAAGCAGGGATCAGCCATGGAACTTTACAACGTTAGTAAATCGCTAAAATGTGAAATTTTAAGAGCCAAAAAAAGCTATAAAAATGAGTTGGAGAAAAAGATGGCTGACAACAGACTGGGCTCCTTTTGGTGTAGCATGAAAACCTTGACTGGTCTTCACAAGGAAGGAAGTTGTCAGGTGCTCCTTGAAGGTTTTAAATCTAATATACATTTGGCAAATGCATTTAATGATCTTTATTCTCGCTTTGAAACCTCAGATTTTATGAATGAGGTTCAGGAACTTAAAAATAACTTGAAAAATAATCAACATTTCGAGATTTCACAAAAACAAGTGGAAAAGGTCTTTAAGTCGACCAAAGTTAACAAGAGTTGGGGTCCTGATAACATCTGCGGCCACACTCTTAAAAATTGTGCCAAAGAGCTGAGCTCAATTTTCTTGCACATTTTTAATTTGTCACTGGAAAAGCAACATGTGCCACAAATCTGGAAAGATTCAGTGATTGTTCCAGTCCCTAAATCGAATAGACCTAAAAGGTTGGAGGATTTTCGTCCTGTAGCACTAACATCCATTGTTATGAAAAATTTTGAAAAGCTAATAAAATCAGAAATTCTTCGAAAAACTGAGCATGCACTTGACCCCATGCAGTTCGCTTACAGGCCGAAAAGAGGCGTTGAGGATGCCACTATAACCTTGCTTCATCTGCTCCGCAAACACCTGGAGGGAAAGGGGACTCATGCACGCCTTCTTTTTATTGACTTCACGTCAGCTTTTAATACGATGAAACCATATGTGCTTGCCAAACAACTTATGGACCATTTTAATCTTGACTTAAACATTGTAGGCTGGGTTCTTGACTTTTTAACTAAAATAAGTCAAAGAGTGAGAGTCAATGGTGAACTCTCTGATCAGTGCACTGTTTCGACAGGCTCACCCCAAGGTTCTGTTCTCTCACCCCTGTTGTTTATATTGTACACTAGCATGTGTCAGAGTGATCATGAAAACAGAATCATCTTAAAATACGCAGATGACTCAGTTATTGTAAGTCTACTTCACAAAAATGAAAGTCAACATGGCCCAGTTGTTGAGGATTTTGTCAAATGGTGTGATGAGTCTTATCTTCTCTTGAATGTTTGTAAAAAGGGCCACCAACGACTGTATTGTCTTCGGAAACTGTCCTTCTTTCATGTAGATAAAACTGTGATGACACTGTTTTATCGGGCATTCATCGAAGCGACCCTAGCTTTCTGCCTGGTCGCCTGGTACGGGAGCTCTTCTGTTAGAAACAAAAACGCCTTGAATCAGCTCGTCAAGTGGTCAAGTAAAGTCATTGGCCAGCCTCAGACCAGTTTGGACTTTCTGCATGATAGACAGCTAGAGAGGATGGCACGAAGCATCGCAAAAGACTCAGAGCATCCTTTGCACTCAGAGTTTCGATTGCTTCCGTCTGGGCGTCGGTTTTTGATGCCAATGAGCCACACGAACCGTTTTAAGAAAAGCTTTGTTCCCGCTGCCCTTTCCTTTATGAACAAGTCGGGATCAAACTGCCCTTGACACAGGTTTTTTATCTTTGTTACTGTCAAGTGGCTTAAATTGCAGTTGTTTTTTGTACCAAAGGCACATCCTGTTAGTATGTGGAGCACTTATAAGTTTTGTATTTTATATGTATGATGTTTTATCTTTGAAATGTGTTTTAATGTGTCAACTAGTTCTCAGAATTGCAAAACGAATTTACCCACGGGTACAAATAAATTAACCTAACCTAACCTAACTTTATGGTCTCTGTACATCAACAATGTTGCAATGCAGAGTTTTTAGTACAGTGTACGTCCAGGAAACATGTACCATGACATGTTTATGTTTGAGGGGGGTTCAGTGTTTTATGCACACTTTCATTACAATAGTCCCTGTGCCAGCCTGGTGGCGCTCGGGCCTACTAATGTAAAACAAACATTATATAAATCATGCTATACTTCCGGTAAGAGCGTGTAGACCAATCAGAAAACTGCAAGCCGCAGACAGACCCTTCTCGTCTGTCTGCGATATTTGTGTTTCTGAGTGTGCACTGACAATAGTCGGATTTCAGTTGCATCCGACTATTGTCAGTGATGGGAATCATGCTCCAGTGCTGAAGCAGGGGAACACGCTCACGTGTGTAACCTGTTTTAAACATGGCGGAGAAGCACAAATGCTCACACACGTGCAAACCCATGAAAGGGCATCTGTTTGTCATGGAGGTATGTTTTAACTTCGAATCCAGGTGTTGTGCAATATTGTAAATTTGTTCTTTAAAGTGATTGTCTAGACTAGAGTTTGTCAGAAAGAGAGACAGTATGGAAGATTTTTTGTGTCATCAGATTTAGAATTTTTTTTAGCTTGAATTTTTCCATTTGACATTTTTAACCCTGAAAAAGCATGTTTGAATATTTTTTTCTTCACATTTCAGTCACTAAAAAATCAGTTTACACATTTCAATGTGATTAAAATTTCAAAATGACATATTCACCTTCAAAATATTCAAAAAAAAAAAATTTCAATGAAAAAAAAAAAAGACGGATTATTTGTTCCATCAGAAATTGAATTTTAAATAGACCTGAATTCATCTATTTGAATGTTTTTAACATCTTGAATATTTTTTTCTGTGAATTTCAGTCACTGATTATCAATTTCATAATGTTAAATTCAACAGTCAAAATTCAACGAGAAAAATTTCAATGGTGAAAAATGCACATGACACATCCGGTGTTCTGACGAGTTATGTGCTCTGTCAGATGGTCTGCGCATATGAACTCTGTTTTCTCTTCACTGACGTTGGAATCTCTCGTTATCTACATTAGACCCTTTAGAACTAATGGTGATTTTGTTAACTTAGAATATTTACGTTACCGTCACTTTAAGAAAGAGAGAGAGAGAGGGAGAGGTTTTTCTTTGTTTACGGAGCGAGTGGAGCCGAAAGAGCACGTAACTTTTCACAGCTCATGAAATAAGGAGCCATACGGTGTTCTTACCGTTGTTACTTTATTTCAGAGACAACTCAGCAAATATCATTTAGTGTACAAGAGTTCGAGCTGTGGAATACATGTTTTTGTTAATTCCTTTACATGGAACTCTTTTTCAAGTAACACGAGTGAGCCCTGTGGAAACTGCTACACGGGAAACTAGACCCAAATACTGTGTAACGTAACCAACAATAACACTGTCCTTTGTTGCTATAAATGTTCAAATGTGATGGTTTTCATGAACACAAACACACACAGCCTAAATAAATAAACAGGAATATACAGCAATAATGATTTGAAACGAGCACATTTACCCAAAATGTTCAAAAGACTAACTCATCAAATGAATGTAGTATCATCTTGTTATTCGCCTTGGTTTCATTACAATCCATTCATTAGAAATCCCATATCAACCTGTTAGATTCATGTTATCAACCGATGGACCTGCTGAAAGCTAGCGCCAGTCTTTACCTCAGTAAAATGACGCATGCGCAGACCAACTGACAGAGCACACAACTCGTCAGAACACCGGATGTGTCATGTGCATTTTTCACCATTGAATTTTTTCTCGTTGAATTTTGACTGTTGAATTTAACGTTATGAAATTGATAATCAGTGACTGAAATTCACAGAAAAAAATATTCAAGATGTTAAAAACATTCAAATAGATGAATTCAGAGAAAACATGTCGGACAGAGTCACGTGGGGCAACCGAGAGTGATGGCCGCACACTAGATCGCTCCCCGATACCCATCCTAATATTATAACTTTTGGGGTCGTGCTCTTCTTGTGACGTGCAGGTCTTTATTACTTTTGCTGAGCGGAAGGCTTTATGCGAGTGGCAGTCACGGGAAATATGCCTAACACCAGTAAAGTAAACTTTTTCAAAGGGGCCACGGCCACGAGGCTAACTACAAAGAGGCTAGCTAGCGCTCCTCTGCCGCAGCCCGAGGAGGATGCTAGCAGCGGCGTGTCGGGGGAAGAGGGCCCGGAGATGAGCGAAACCATGTTTGACGAGCTGAGGAAGATGAATGCTACTCTACAAACCATGGCGGCGGATGTTATTACTATTAAGGAGACGACAAAAGAATTGAAGGAATCCGTAGAAAGCATCCAGGCCCGCATGGGTGAGGCAGAACAGCGCATATCTGACCTGGAGGATAGCCACGAGCAAGCTAGCTCCAAGCTGGAGAAGTGTGATAAGAGAGTTGATGTACTGTGGTCACGGGTGGAGGACTTGGAGAACAGGAGTCGGAGGAATAATGTTCGTATCGTTTCTCTTAAAGAGGGACTGGAAGAGCAGGGGAAAATGGCCAAATATGTGGAAAAGATCTTAGGGGACGCACTCGGGCTTACTGGCGGTGAATTTGAGATTGAACGCGCCCATTGCATCCCTATTCCTGTTCCAGACACTTCCAAACCTCCGAGAGCGGTACTTGTTCGCTTCCTACGCTCGTCTGCAAGGGAGAAGGTACTACAGGTGGCCAGGGAGACGCGTGGTATCCACTGGGAGGGCTGCAAGCTTTCAATCTTCGAAGATTTCACGAGAGAGCTGGCGGAAAAGAGGAAAGCGTTCGTCCCGGTGAAGAAACATCTACGAGAGCTACAAGTGAAGCACCGACTAGTCTATCCTGCCACTTTATTGTTTACTTGGAATGGTCAGAAGGAAGCCCTTCACTGATGGGAGAGAGGCTGAAAGATTTTTGCAACATTCAACGGGAGCTGCGCAGGACAGAAGAGCATGACTTTCTTTAAAATGTAAGGTAAACAAGAGATGGGTGGGGGTGAGCTGGTGATGGGTGCCAGGCCGTCGGTCGCAAAGGAGATTGTCTCACGGACCAAGTAATTAAGGGTTACCCGAACTATTAGTTTGGGTTGGGAATGTTGGGTAGGCAAGGGTGGGGGGTTAAGGGAGCTTTTCAGCGATGTTCTGCGCTGAAAAGGGAGGGGGTTTGTTTGTTATGTACATGTTCAAATTGTTTATTCAGACTGCAGTCATTAGAGTATGGGCCAAGGTGTTACATGTGTTTTGATTTTGATTACGTGATTGCCGGTTCAAGTGTGTTTTATGTGGTCAGTATTTACCTAAATGTAATCTAGATGGCGCCTCGTACGGTCGACATGGCTCTTTGCTGCTCTCTTTTTCTTTTGTTTTTACTTTTTAACTGTGCATCTGGCTGTTCCTACACCCGTGAGGAACTTATGAACATCCGACCCTCCGTTCCCATGGACCTATTGCCTGTTTTCTTGGCATCTGCGGCTGATTTAGTTCATGTTCTAGCCAAAAAAGTGTGGGCCCGTAAAAGGGGAAAGCGAGGAGGCCTGCTCGTGCGTCTTAGGAGGAGAGGAGCGCGCACGGCTCTCCCCGGCATTTTTCTCTCCAACGTACGCTCACTGGGCAATAAGATGGACGAAACTCAGCCTGCTCATGAGAAGAAACAAGGACTTCGCCACATCCTGTGTCCTCTGCTTCACTGAGACCTGGCTAAATGAGCGGATCCCGGACTGCGCTCTGGAGCTGCAGGGCTTTGGGCTGTTTCGCGCGGATCGCCATTGTGCGCTCTCAGGGAAGAGCAGAGGCGGAGGGCTCTGTTTCTACGTCAATACAAACTGGTGTAACGATGTGACAGTGATCTCCAAGCACTGCTCTCCTGCTCTGGAATATCTTTTCATTCATTGTAATCCATATTACTCCCCGCGGGAAATTGTTTCATTCATTCTTGCCTCTGTTTACATACCGCCATGCGCGGACGCGCGCGAGGCTCAGCGCGCACTCGCAGAGCAAGTACTGTGTATGGAACGCTTATACCCGGACTCTCTGATTATTATCCTGGGGGATTTTAATAAGGGAAACTTGAGCCAGGAATTACCCAAATACAGACAGTTTATCAAATGCCCGACCAGAGAGGAGAACACTCTGGATCACTGTTACACCACCGTGCGCGGAGCTTTTCGCGCTGTTCCCAAGCCAGCCCTCGGCTTCTCAGATCACTCCATGATACATCTGGTTCCTGCTTACAGACAGAGACTAAAGCTCTCGAAACCTGCAGTGAGGAGCTCCAAAGTGTGGTCTGATGAAGCTGTGGAAGAGCTGCGCGCATGCATGGAATCTACAGACTGGGACCTTTTCAGAGCTGCCACAGACAGCTTGGATGAATATACGGACACTGTGACGTCATACATCCACTTCTGTGAGGATAGCATCATTCCAACAAGGACCAGGGTCATCTATAACAACGACAAACCCTGGTTCACTGCTAAACTCCGGCAGCTCAGGAAAGCAAAGGAGTCTGCTTTCAGGGAGGGGGACCGCAGCGGCTACAAAGCAGCTAAATATCAGTTCAGGAAAGAACTGAAAGCAGCCAAGTCCCGGCACAGAGAACGACTACAGGAGCAGTTTGGTAACAACGATACTGCTTCTGTCTGGAGGGGCCTACGGGAGATCACCAACTACAAACCCAAAGCCCCCCCCTGTGCTGATGACCACAAGCTAGCTGACGATCTGAACTTATTTTTCAGTCGCTTTGATGCTGCCCCTGACACCTCTCCCTCCCCCACCCCCCACTACTCTAACGACCCACCCATCAGCCCTGCCCCCAGCCTAACAATAGCCGCTAAAGAGATTAAACAACTCTTCCTGAGGCTGCACCCCCGCAAAGCTCCTGGCCCGGACCACGTGTCTCCGGCCACTCTGAGACACTGCGCCAGTGAGCTTACTCCTGTGTTCACGGACATTTTCAACACCTCTCTGCAGTCCTGCCATGTCCCGGCCTGCTTCAAATCCTCCATCATTGTCCCCGTCCCGAAGAAGCCCAGGATCACAGGACTCAATGACTACAGACCTGTAGCACTTACGTCTGTCGTCATGAAGTCATTTGAACGCCTGGTTCTCTCCCATCTCAAGTCCCTCACCTCCCCCCTCCTGGACCCCCTGCAGTTCGCCTACAGAGCCAACAGATCTGTAGACGACGCCATTAACCTGGCCCTCCACCACATCCTACAGCACCTGGACTCCCCGGGGACCTACGCCAGGGTCCTGTTCGTGGACTTCAGCTCTGCCTTCAACACAATCCTGCCATCCCTGCTCCAGGACAAGCTCTCCCAGCTCAACGTGCCCGATTCCACCTGCAGGTGGATCACTGACTTCCTGACGGACAGGAAGCAGCGAGTGCGTCTGGGGAAGAATGTCTCGGACTCTCGGATTATAAATACAGGAGCCCCACAGGGCTGTGTTCTTTCTCCCCTGCTCTTCTCCCTGTACACCAACCACTGCACCTCCAGCCACGACTCCGTGAAGCTGATCAAGTTCGCGGACGACACCACCCTCATTGGACTCATCTCCAACAACGATGAGTCCGCCTACAGGAGGGAGGTGGACCGGCTGGTGTCCTGGTGCAGTGGTAACAACCTGGAGCTGAACGCCCAGAAGACAGTGGAGATGATTGTGGACTTCAGGAAGAGCACTGTCCCCCCGCCCCCACCCTCCGTGATGGACTCCCCCATCACCTCTGTGGAGTCCTTCCGTTTCCTGGGCACCACCATCACCCAGGACCTCAAGTGGGAGCCGACCATCAGCTCCCTCATCAAGAAGGCCCAGCAGAGGATGTACTTCCTGCGGCAGCTCAGGAAAGCCAAGCTGCCTGCACAGATGTTGGTGCAGTTCTACACGGCCATCATCGAGTCCATCCTCACCTCCTCCATCACCGTGTGGTTCGCTGGAGCCACAGTCAGGGACAAACAGAGACTACAGCGCATTGTGCGCTCTGCAGAGGAAGTGATCGGCCGCAGCCTTCCATCGCTGCAGGACCTGTACGTCGCCCGAGCTCGAGGCCGGGCTGGTCGTATCACAGCCGACCCCTCTCACCCTGCACATGGACTATTCCAACCACTCCCCTCAGGCAGGAGGCTGCGGTCCATCAGGACTAGAACCTCCCGCCACAAGAACAGTTTCTTCCCCTCTGCTGTTGGACTCTTGAACACTTCTTAACCTGTCCCCCCGCCCTTTATAAAGTCACTTTACTGCCCATCATACGTCACTTTACTTCACTGTACTGCTGTCACCTTACATTGTGTGCACCATGTGCACTTGTATATTGTAAATAGTAACTGTAACTCTATTTTAAATTTAAATTTATTCTTTAGAAGTGTTTTTTATTCTTATTTTTATTATCTCTTTTTGACTGTTGCACTGAGCCAAAGCAATTTCCAAGTCTGTGACCTCCCGTTACTTACGTTGGCAATAAAAATGATTCTGATTCTGATTCTGATTCTGATGTAATGTCGAGGTATATTAAAGTAACATCATGGAACATAAAAGGGTGTGGAGATCCAATCAAAAGGAGAAAGGTATTGTCCTATTTGAAGGCAAGAAACACGGATATAGCATTTATCCAGGAGTCTCATATTGCAGGGGAGGAAGAAGCTCAGAAATTTAGAAGGGACTGGGTGGGAACTGTATTACATAGCTCATATTCAAGTAAGAGAAATGGGGTCATGATTTTGATAAATAAAAATTTAAGTTTTGTATTGTTGAATAAGTATAATGATAAGGAAGGTCGGGTTATTTGTGCAGAAACACTAATCAACGGAGTAAGAACTCTACTGTGTAATATATGCGCACCTAATAAGGGGGACCCACATTTTTTTCACTTAATTAATAGCATAGTAGGTAACAAGGACGGACAGATTATTTTGGGGGGAGATTTCAACCAAGTGATGGATGGTATGATTGACAAAAGTAAAGTAAGCGGCCTGTCCTCACCAAGGGATAGAGAGGCAATACATTTGTTGGCAGAAGACGTCAGTTTGGTGGATATATGGAGGTTGGTTAATCCGGATGAAAGAGAGTACACTTTTTTTTCCCATTGTCATAAAACATACTCGAGGATAGATTTTTTTTTGATATCCAAATCTTTAGTTGATTCCGTAGTGGGGTGTGAAATTGGACCGATAGTGATCAGTGATCACGCAACTGTTGAACTGTATATTAGTTTAAATGTCGATATTTTAAAAAGGGGTCGTTGGAGGTTTAATACTATGTTATTACAAAATGAATCAGTTTGTGAGGAAATATCCAATGACCTTAAAATGTTTTTTGAAATTAACCTGGGCTCAACAGACAAAATTGCTACAGTGTGGGAAGCGTCCAAAGCATATATTTGGGGGAAAATGATCGCACATGCCACAAAGATAAAAAAAGAAAACAGGAACAGAGAAAATAAACTTGAGAAAGAGATACATCAATTAGAGAAGGAGCTTGCAAAACGATTTTCAAATGAAAAATATCAGATTGTATGCAAAAAGAAGTATCAACTGCATGATATTTATAACAAAAAAGCTGAATATGCATTATTTCGATTAAGGACTAAATTCTATGAGGGAGGGGAAAAAAATGGGAAAATATTAGCAAGACAATTAAAACAGCAGGACAATCTTGGAAATATATCAATGATAAAAATACATAATCAAGTGATAACCTCATCAAAAGAAATTAATCAGGTTTTTAAATTATTTTATCAGGATTTATACACATCTTCCGGAGTAGTCAGCAAAGAGGAAATGGACAATTTTTTTTCAAATCTACAATTGCCGACGCTCACCAGTGATCAAAAGGAAAGATTGGATGTGCCCGTTACAGAAGCAGAAGTAAGGGCAGCCATTGCCTCCATGAAAAATGGAAAG